AATTGATTACTTTCCTTCTTTGTCAGTGAAGTGTGTGCCAGAATCTGTAGATCTTAAAACCTGGAACATATTGAATCCCTGAGTGATCTGTTTTGCCTGAAAACTGCTTTGACGTTTTAAGCGGAAAAAAAATGTTTCTTTGTAACTGTCATTTAGCGAGACTATCTTTGAACTGTAATTGTCATTCACATGCTTTTTTTTTTAAAAAGAGATCCTTTATTGATAAATACATTAGCACTCCTTTGAGTACCTGTAAGCAGGTGCATAGCATTACACTTTATTTTTGTTAGACATCTTTTTTAAAAAACATTTCCATCCAGGTGTGCAACTGAAAGGTACAGTAAATTCTTATTAAGAATTAAAAAAAATATATCCCTTTTTTACCTTTTTTAGGGCAAAGAAGACCTAGATCTAGCAGCAGAGAGAAAGGCTTCAGCTGATTGACAGCGAAACACAGAGCCTGCCAGGTGTGTTGATGTGGATCAGTTCTGTAGAGTGTTTGAAAGAACACTGCCCTGCTAGTCTTACTAGTCTCTGAGAGAGAGATTGAACTGCTTGTTTTTGAGGTGTGCCAATGAAAGTAAAACATGAGAGCAGATGCAGAACAAAGGTTTGTCCCTAAGACTGGATGATGGCTGAAGTGGACAAAAAACCTGATGATCTCCACCGACACTGACTTGAAAATGAACTGAAAACTTACAGCAACATCTGATGGGTTATTCCTTGTTTTGGGTGTGTGTGACCAAACCATCTGGGTTTATATGAACGAAATTTTGTGAGAAAAGTAAAACTGTCTACAGGATTACTGTTTCACCATACTTCTTGGCATACATTATCCTTACATTATCGTACCGTACATCTTGACTCAAATTATCCTCGCATCTCCCATTCAGTGTCATGCTTTGAGATGTGTGTTTTTTTTAATATAACTCGGTAGAAACACAAAAGCCTCTTCTGCAGTCATAATTTGTTTGATTTATTTTATGTTTGTGCTCATTTTGTCCTTTTAAAACAAAACATCATGTACAAGACAAAGCTACTGGAATGACAGACCTACATCTTTCCAGTTTATCCATTCCATTTAATATAAAATGTTGTTTAGTTTTCAACTAAAACTAAAATAGTTTTGATTTGTCAAACAGGTTTGCCCATTCCAGACACTCAGTTTCCCAAACCCTTCAAATTTGTTCATGTGGACATTTTTATGTTTCTGTGCGTTTTTGCTTCCTCTGTCAATGTTTTTTTCATGACTTACTGTAGCTCTTATGTAAAATCAAGGTTGCACTGAAGGCAACCTCTTCCTCTTCCTCTTTTTGTAATCGGCTTATTTGATTTTCTGTAAACTTGAGGCTGTGGGTTCACAAGCCCTCAGAAAGTAACTGGGCCCTGGACCGAAAATGTTTTGACGTAGAGGCATTTCAGTGCAACACTGCCTTCTACTGGATGGTCAGTGATTCATTTAGTGGTCTGGTGTGTCAGTAACAGCTTTACTCTCCTGGATATACAGTATGTTAGTCACACTCATGAGAAATGTGCCATTCCTTGTAAATCAGAGACTTTCTTGGAAGATAGTCGAAAATTCTAGGTTTAAGATAAAAAAGAAACATCTATTCTTAATCCAGAATCCTTTTAAATGTGTTTTTTTTTTGTCATTTTTCGATCTGTTTAGTGGACATTTTGGTCAGAAAACCTGTTGTTTTTGCTTTTTTTGCGTTTGTTACTTTTTTTTCCTGTTCTAGATTTTTAAAAATTGCTCTCCCTAAACAAATATTCAGAAAACTTCCTGAGGTGTCAGCTCAGCTGTCATTTGCTCTCTGCGGGAGCCGAAGCGAGTTTTTTTTTCTGTGGCGGTATCCGAGCGCAGTGGTCACATTGCCAGCGCAATGCGAGCTCTAAGAATGACAGAATACAGTAGCTCCCCAGGCATCGGCTTCAAGTGAACACGTACTGTACACTGAGGTCTTATACACCAATGTAAAAATGTACCTATCATAGGGTTCCTCTTGTAACAGCCTTGGAAAAAAAACATAAAATGAATAAACTCACATTTTTGTCATTGGAATATATGTACAATTAAGAAATATTACCTTGCTGATACCAACGTACTGTAAGGAATCAGTTGTTTTACTGTACTGCCTTACAAATTATTCGCAGTTAGTGCTTCTCCTTGGCTCAATTAGTCATTTAGTCATTTTTTTTAATCTTATACACTTTTAACATGATACCTTTTTATGTAGTGAGTATGAAGAAGTCAAGGGCATAATCCTTTAATCCTGAAAACATATTTGATTTATTGTTTAACAAACTGCTGGAATGCATTTTGTAGAACACGCTTCACAGATAGCTCTTGTGCTTTGTATCATTTTAAAAGCTTTAAGATACAGGATATAAATTCACACAGCAGATTTTGAAACGTTTTCATATTTTGTAATAAAAAGGTAGCCTGTGAAATATCACGTAAATGAAAAATCTCTCATTCTTCATTGAAGTGATATGTCCCAGGCCTTTTTTATTATAACATATGAAAATCCTGATTCCTTCATAGGAATGACCGAGACTACTGTGAAGAACAGTGAATACATTACTTTATATGCGATTTGTTTTTAAAATATAATAAATATACTGATATTTGATAAAAAGGCTATTGTTAAAAAAAAGAGGTCTAGAGTACATTTTCTGTTTTAAGCAACAGGAAAGACAGTGGAAATAAAATACCTTTATTGTAAGCAGAAGCCACTGGTAATGAGTTTCAGGTCATGGCTGTTTCTCTGATCTGTGTAGTGGAGATGGCTGGTGTTGTCACTGTTCAGTGTTTTCCCCTTTGATGTTCAGCATCACTTGACAAACCTTAAGGAATATTTTCAGCTGATCGTTATCAGCACGCCAGTGGTCAGTCATACTAGCCTACAGTCTCTTTTTAAAAGTTCCCTCCCAGATGTTTAATGTCCTAAAAGCAATCTTCCACAGGCACCATTCAAAAAAAAAAAATGTCCCATGTAAGGGTTTGCTATGGCAGATGGTGAGATTTTAGTTTCGTCCTAAAGACTTCAGAAAGCCATCATTATTACAGAAGAGCCCAGAAATGTTATTCTTCTTGTAAATCTCACATCCTTTGCAATTTTAGTTTTCTCTACCTCTTAACGCCTTAACTAGAACCACATGTTTAATATCAGATACAATCTATTTCATTGCCCAGAGATGCATTAGGAATGAATAGGAAAAGGTGATGAAGCTCATGTTTTGAAGTGACTTTGGAGATACTCTTTGAAGGTTTTGATTTAGAGAAAACATATTAAGTCAGTGTAAATTAGGCATTTTTTGTATTTGTATGGAAGTTAATTGGTTTTCTAAATTTATACTCCAGGCATAACTTAGAATTTATTTAATGTACTGCCATCATGAGCATTTATTGTGAGGAATATTTTGGAAACTAAGTGTTTGATCATCCTAATATAATAACTGTTACTGCTGTTGTGCGTAGCTTTTCAATGTCATACATTCTTTGAGATTCTACAAAGGCTAATACTTTTTCTCAAAAGTGTTTTAAATTTATGGTGGCTAAAGTAAAGTAATTTAAAATGTTAAGGAATTTAGCAGAAAATAGGTTTTAAATTTAGCTAAGCACAGCATGAAGAGAGAAAAGACACCAATGTTGACTTACAATAATAATTCACATGAATCACTTTCAGCAGCTAGATTATGTGTGAGTTTAATTTTTTTATAAGTCAATTACTTATCTATTTTGACTTGTTTAGATTCCATACAAGCATAATTAAAAGGATTTAATTTGGCTTTGTTTTAATGCTCTCGATTGGAGAAATGCCTTGAACAGAAAGATAATATAATGTTCTGAAGTGGACACAAGAAGGTTATGTGTTCTGACTTTTCAGGACATGAGACGTATCAGCCTGGTACTCACTGTTACCTGTGCTGCCCGTTGTGACTGAAAGCGAATCGAATTCCAGAGCTGGTCACAAAGGGAGAACTGTTTGGGAAAAGTCTCTCTCTCACAGCTGTTCGGAAGGCATGGTAACCTGAGCCCATGGACCTGTTCTGACTGCACGTGCAGCACCTCAATGTTTTCCTTCAGTAAAGCAGACTAACCTGCATGGAAAACCTCACCGAGAAACCTTTCAAATCAGCATGATGCGTATTCATACAACTTATAAGTGCGCGGTTTGGAGGCAGTTGTTCTTGTTGGGGAAAAGCTGCCTTCAATGTAGCTTCTGCGAGCAAACAACCCTTGTGTACTACTTTCCTTTAAAATGCCATTTGAAAAATGCTCTCGTTTTCATACAGTATTTCCACTTCTGTAGCTTATCCTTTAGTAGCCATTACATTGCTGTAACCATAAAATAGGTACTTGAAATGGAATCAGAAGGTTCCATCCTATTTTTATGAGAGATTTAAAAAAAATGAATTTGCTAGTAATTGCTAGTATGAGTAGTGGTTTTCTCCAAGCACCTTGAGACATTTTGCTATTTACTGTATATACTGAACATTGCGCATTAACTGTGAAGTCCGACAGTTGCATTTTCTATATTACTCAGTACTTCAGAATGACTAATCTAAAGATTAGATAGCAAAAATATATTTTTAATAGTCTAGCATGAGCTTCCGTGAAACTACCAAACTAGATTGTTGACTGATGCTCTATTGTAAATGATAAGAGAGAACATCCTAGATAAGAAACAAGAAGGTTTAGTCAAGATCACTAGTCGCGCTACATTTTCTTTCTGATCTTTGCACAACCTTTCAGATAGGCTGTATAATCTGCATAATGAAAATTCAAAGTTTGATAGTCACTTACTTATCGAGTACATTAACAATGAAAAGACACGGGGAATTCCTAGCAGTTGTGCAGTAGACGACAGTCCTGTTCCATTTAACCTGGTGTTTACTGCGTCTTTTCCCGCAAAGACGATCCTTCTCTCCACAAGCCCCAAAAACAAGCTTCAGTTTGCGCTGCGTGAAAGTATTTCTGCACAATAGATAAACTAATGCCTGCAGAGTAAGAACAGAGAAAAAAAAAACACAAAACAAAACATTGCATGATAGTCTTTAAGCAGTTCCATCTGTCAAGCCGAAATTCTAGGCTAATAGCCCGTGGCGCTCCAGCCTGCAGTCCACTACCTGCCTTTGTCCTATTAAATCTCTGAGTTCCTCCAAAAAAAAAAAGAACAGAAACTTGCAGACCCAAGTGAACTGTGTGATGAAGCCCTAATTTAAACCGCCTCACTTTGATGTTGAGGAGTAGGTTCATTCGCAGACTTTTTTTTTTTAAAAGACAGCTCTGGGAGCAGATGACTCCTCATCTCCAGTTCACCTTGCCACGGGGTCTGCGAGAGATTGGTTCATTGTCAAGGAGATTTTTTTTTTACCCATGATTCCATATGGTATGGACTGGGCTACATGTTGCCCAACATGCCAGTGCAAATGTTTTCTCAATTAGGTGTCTTATCTCCGGTGAGTTAGCATCAGATGAAGCTTGCTGACAGCATAATGGCAGGGAAAACCTCCGAAGGCTCCATCAAATGGCAGCTCTGCTACGACATCTCGGCCAGGACCTGGTGGATGGTAAGTTGGCAGCTGTGGCGTTTTTTTTTTTCTTTTTCCTTTCCTGGCTTTCCCTCCCTCTTGCACAGAAAGTCCCAGGCTTTCACATTCATCGGGTTAACATCTGATTACTGTTTTTGTTTTTTATTGAATTCACAGTTGTTCTTAGGTGACAGTTCCACACTTGTCCCTCTGTGTCCTTTTTTTTTTACAAAACAAAATTATCCAGTATTCAGAAAAGCATGTATATTGGTGTACTAAGTTGCTTAAAATAAAAAAAAGAATAACCGAGCATGGGGTAGGAGGAAATTCTTACCTGTACTTTCTTAGGCAAAGTTTGTCAGCAAAGAAAACAAGTTGTCAACTTTTTGTTTTCGCTCTCCAATGCAGGAGTAAACTCTGTATTTTCCACACCGTCTCGCTTCTCACACTGAAGAAAAGTCTCTCGCAGTCTGTCGGTGAAGGAAGGGGGCAGAAAGAAAAGCCTTGTTCCAATTTTGTTTAATCTGTTGTTTATACTGAGAGAGTTTGTGTGCTGCGCTCCCCTCCGCGCCAAGGCATGTGCTGCGCATCGCACAGTTTTTAATAGCTGTTTGAAGCTCCGTCTGCAATTTAAAACAAAAAAAAGGGGGCAGAAAAGTGTTTCCAATGGGCAGGAATCAAACCGGCGCAGATTAACTTCCTTGTCGTGGTCGGTGAGGCCAGACAACCTTTGACATTCCTGTTGTATGGGGAAAAGGAAAAAAGAGTAGCTGTTCGATTGACTGAAGAGTGAGAGGGAAGGATGCACAATAGTCTATTGTAGACAGCAGATACAAATGAGTCCTGTCGGGGAGGAAGAAAAGCTCAAAACCTAGCTGTGTTCATTAGCATGTTGTCCGTTAGGGACTGAATCGTTAGCTGAGCATTATTATTGGGGGGGGGGGGCTGTAATTATTATTCTTGTTGCAAGCAGGTTCTTTGCCAGAACGACAGAAAATAGTTTTGTTGCCAAGGACAATGACTGCATTATTCTTCCCCTAACTGGACCGTGAACTTCGGGCTATTTCCCCATTCCTCCCCCCATGCGACAGCAGCACCAGACCTCTCCTCTGCTGTCGATATTAGTGCAGGCGAGAGAAAAGCAAGTCTCTTGTGTTCTTTCAGGAGCGCTGCAGAGTTGTTCCGTGGGCACCAAAAAAAGTGGCAAAAAAAGCCCATCTCGGGGTCTGTGTTGGAGAGGACGGAGCTGATGGAGTTAGTTTGGGAAGCGCAGGAAATGAGCAGCCTCTGTGAAGCTCCCCCGTAACTCTCCTGGGGTGTGAGAGCTGAGCGTGGAGGGTGGATATGTCCAGCGCACATCATCAAGAATCAGACACTCCGCTTTTCGGGGCTTATCTTGAAATGGAGAGTGACATTGGTGGGTTTGCTTCCTAATTGAGAAACTGTGGTTGACATTTTTTGTTTGTTTGTTTCTTACAAAACAACTAAAAGTAGTACAAGACAAATCTTATGTGATGCGTGCAAATTTCTCAGAACTGAAGGGGTGTGATTGCTTTAAAAATACTTAAAATGGTTAGCAGGAGAATAGCCAGCTAAAGCTGTGTTTTTTTTTATACGTTTTTAGTTTGTTCCCAAGTTTTGTTCTTCACAAGAACTGCTAATTGCTTGACCTTGGTTTATCTTTCACCAGAGGAAGAGGTAATTTCTCAGAAGTACTGAAGAGCTTTTCAGTTTCTTTTAATGTGATTTTATATAATAACCCTTGTACTGATTAAAACTGTTTTTTTTTTGTCAGCTAATATTAGGTCTTTTATTTTGTGCTTCTGTTACCATTTATACGCTACCATTTTATTAAACTAATAAGAGATATTCAGTCTTCTAACGTGATTACTAGTCACTGTTTAATTTATTTAAATGTATAATCTTTGCATTTTCAAATTTTACATTTCATAATTTAATTCACTAATTAATTTAGTGAATTAAATTTAGTATGCAATTTAGTCTTCAATTTAGTATGCAGGCTGTAGTTTAAAGTTTCATAGGAATAAGGACAATGCTCTATTTCTTTTGAGAAGGATATTTATTTTGCTTGCATTTATTTATACAGAACTTATTGCAGAACATAATTCACTGAATTGGCTTGCAGATATGCAAATATAATTTTATTAGCATGTCGATTCATTTTGTCAGCTTTGAATAAATCAGTAAGTACAAATCAATTTTTCTACTTTTTTACTATTGCTGCTAGTGAATTCTTTGGGCATGCTCATATGATTATGCCTTGTGAAGGGCAGCTCTTTCTGCGTTGTAAAGCCTTTTTCAGATTCACTAAAGAGCGAACCATGGACTGACACATCACCCACAGCAATTTTCAGCTGTTCATTATTTGAAATCTCTTGAATTCATATACTGTATGTGAATGAGCTGTCTCAAGTTATTTTAGTGCCTTTCAAAAGAACTTTTTTTTGTTTTCAATTTTAGAAGTGCTGAATTTCAAAACCATGTTACCCAGTTAACCATGTATAGAAGTACTGAATTTCAGCACACGAAAGAAACATTAAACGTTCTGTGGAAAATAATGAATAAAAAGTTTTGTCTTGATTTGTCTAAGCTGTTGCCACTGTTAAAGATAAAACATGCTGTTTAAGATAGCCTGGTTGTGTCGTCTGTGTTTTATAAAATATAGCATTTTTTATTTTAGTGTTTTTCTGCACTGAAATCCTTCAGAAAATAATTCTTGGTTATACAATTGAAACAGTAAGCTTAACATGGTTTGAAGTGTTGAAGTGTTTGTTCGTAAAGAATAAGAATGAGTAAGTTTGTGAATAATAAATATAACATTAGATATAATTGTTTGTTTTTGTTGAAGTAGTACAATGTATGTTTCTGGTCTTTAATATTTTGAAAGGGATCTTTATATAAATATAGATAAGCCAATAAATGTTTAGGTGTCTCAGACTGGATTTTAAATATTTTGCCTTCTTGCTGTTTAGATTAATTGAATTGAAGCCAATCTAGTGTATGAACAGAAACTGGCATCTTGCAACACAGCAGCATCTGAAAACACTAGTAACTTATTTATGATTATTAATCTTTAATGCTGCTGTAAACCATTAGTAAGCAACTCTACTTGTTGTTCCTTTTCTGTTTCAGAACTACTCAAAGTAGCTCAATGTTCTGTTGTTAGTGGAAGTGGAAACTGTTTTGCACTTTTCTTGATGGGATGTGCTCATTATAATTAGTCAATAATCCCGTCCTGTACTGCAATATTTGTGTGTTTATAATGGTACAGAAGGTTAAGTTGGGTAATAACTCAAAGAGGATTATTTGCTCAATAAAGGAGAGTGCTCTGAAATTATATCTAATGCATATCAGGGATAGTTACTTTCAGGATAGTTTTTCTGTCATCTCTCTTATGTCGGTGCGCTTAAATCTTTATGATTTCAGGACTCAGCTTAAAGAGGAGATGGCCTTTTCTTTGAAGTTTGTCCTTAATACCCGACAATTCTGTCAACTGAAACCATACATGCCCGGCTAGTGAATGAATCCTGAACTAGTCTCTACTAAAACAGTGTGCGTTCTCCTTCTGCAAGGGCTTCTCTCATTTTCACCATGAAGACCACCACTGACTTTATTATTTTTATTAATATTATTTCTTTCTTTATTAAAATCATTTTCTCGAGAAGAGAGAATTGCCTTTCAGTGCACAACTTGCCAGTCCTTGCCAGTTTATTTTTATGTGGGATATTTTATTCGATTTTTATTTAGCAACAGGGATCTGTTATGATCCTTTATTTTGTGCAGGTAATTCCCAAATAAAGCAACATCTCTGCTTGTGAAGAAATAATCAAGGGTGGTCTGATGAGCCGTACAGTTTGAATGTCTGTGTAGTTCTGTACAGACACGCTGTACAGTACATAGCATAGTCATTTCCCCTTATACTTAAGTGAACATGTTATTTAATGATGGGTGCCAGGAACTTTAGTAGTCTTGTTACAGTCAAAAACAAAGGAAACAACAAAACTAAGGCTTTGTATAAGTACCTGTCAGCAAAATTAATGTACTTTTATTATTTTTCTATACGTGGTCATGCCTTGATGTGTATTTCCTTATCTTCCAAAGTACAATGGGCTTTTGTGCACAGCTTGCTACAGCACGGCAATGGGAGATTAGATGGTGTACCAGAAGCTTTTCTGAAGCCTGGGACTGAACTGAAATTTGTTTAAAAGATTCCTCCAGTTGCAGGACTCCGTCAAAAAGGAGAAACCCTTTTCAGCTGTGTTATTTTTAGAAAGGTTGTTGTCTGGTCTCTGTTAGCTCAATTTTCTTCCAGAGACTGTGGGAGGAAAAAGGTGGACTGTTTTGGACAAGGTCAGGGTTTCTTTTGATTCTTCTGGCAAAGAACAACAGCAAGACTCAATGGCAACGAGAGGCTTCCTTTATGTGTTTTCAGAAAAAAAAACAAGTTCTGCAAACATGAGAAAAGGTCATTTCCCCACCACAGTCTGGAAATTGTTTTTCTTCTTTTTCTTTATTTCTAGAATACATATTGGGTGAAAACCAGCGCTGACAACTTCTGAAATGTGTAAATACAAAGCAAGTGAACTACAGTATATCACCACGGTGAAAGATTCTAAGAGCCCGTGCATCCCGTGTTTAGGAAAGAACGATTGAATTTTTCAAGAAGAAATAGTTATTTTGGAAGACACAGTTCACAAAATGAATGGAAGTGGCAATTCCACCATACAGATGATGAAAAATTCAAACCAAAACATATAGTTTGAGACACCCTTAAAGCAAATAAAGAAAAATACACAGAGGAACTGCACAGTCCTCATCGAAATAATAAACTACTGTTTTCTCACATTACAGACCTGCAGATTTACATGTTCAACTGGTATATTGCACTCTTTGTCTTGATCCATTTTTAAACTGTAAAAATAAGCAATAAAAGCATTTAAATAAATCCGATGTTTATGCAGCAGAATTTTAAAATGTTTAATCCCTTGAGAAAGCTGTATGATTGGAATGAAATGTGA